CTTTACTTCTCGGGCTGCCATCCACCGGGGCAAGGCCGGGTTCCCAACTCCAGACGGCCCATGCTTAGGGTGCCAGAGAAGGGGCCTGAGGAGCCCCAAGAGTTCTCAGATTTTAAATATGCAGTCTTTTAAAAGAGTGGACTTAAGTGGCACTCATCATGGACAGCCCAGAGCTTTGTGGGACTTGGCACCGCATCAGTGCTGTTTCTACTCGGAATCACATTGAGAGGGACGGTGCAGGCTCACGCACGCGCCTCTGCATTCTGCTTCAGGGAGGGATTTGCTGGGCACAGAGTTAAGAATCCCCAACCTAGAGATAGGGCCTGAAAAGCCGGGAGGGTTGAGGACAACTGGAGATTTGACCCTGTCACCTTGAGCAGGAACAGTTACTCATCTCCAGAAAGGACTTAACCACTTCCCTCTGTCAGTTCTCCAAGAGTCCTGAAGGTTGCTGGGCTGAGTGGCGCAGGAGGAAAGCGAGGTGGCCCCCCACGCCCCAGGCGTGGGACCAGGCAGCCTGGTCTCGCTGAGTCAAACTGCCCTTCCCCAGGCCCTCTTTTTTCTTTTATTTATTTAAAAGCTGGTTAGTTTTTAATAAAGTTATTCATGGTGTAAAACCCAGGCTGAGTAGAGGCTGTGAAGTGCACACCGAGTCCCCTGGCCCTCGGCCCCGCTGCGTGGCGGGCACAGCTCACGGCAGGAGTGTGGGGAGCGTCCTGTGCCCTCGCACTTAGTCCAACGGGATGCCACACACACTTCTGCGTCCCACTTCTCTTAGCTTTAGACATGAAATCAGCCCATCCAGGTGCGACTTCTTTGGAATAGTGGCACAGCGTCCTGCAGTCTGGCTGTGCCCCAGTATTTTAACCAGTCCCTCTCATGATGGGCCTGCAGTGCTGTTAACAATGAACAGTGACTGCCTTTTCTTCACTAGCCCAGAAATAGCGACAGGATTCATCCTTATAAATGGGGTTTCTCTGTCAAAGAGAGTTGTTAACTCTTGACCTGTGGCCAGGTTGCCCTCACAGCATGTCCCGCTCTCCTGCTCCCTGTGCCTGTCCCCCGATCTGGAGCCTGTTTCTCACATCAGTGCCACCCTGATGTGAGCACTTGCACCTCAGGATTCGTTTTTCATCCCTTCGAAGTTTTGTGAGTCCACCCAGCACAGTCTGTGAGTGTCCTCCCCTGGGTCCCCATTTCAAGCGCTGCCATCACTCCGCAAACCCTCAGTGACCTGCCTCCTCCTCCCTTCCCACCCCTGCTCCTGCTGTATCCCGGGGCCACGGCACATTCTCAGCCACCAGCCTTTCTCTCGGTGGCCTTTCGGGACTTGATGGCTCTAACATCGTCTCCCGGTTTGCATACCTGCCATCAGAAGTCTCAGCCTCCCCCAGTGCCTGCAGCCACGCCGAGGGCCCGACAGGCCCGGCTGCCCTTCCCCCTTGTGTCTCACCACAGACTTGACTACTTCCCTGAGAAGCCTCTTGCCCTGGGAGTCCTGGGGCTCATGGCTGGGGTCTTTGCCCATATCTACATCCTCTGCATGGCACAGAGCCTGGGGCCAGTGCTCAAAAACCTTGGACTAGGGATGAGGGGGTGAAGGAGAGAATGAGTGGCGGAAACTAGAAAATCACTTCTCTGGGCCCTGCCCTCAAGTAGCTGCCCAGCAGCGAGAGTTGGGGAGAAGACGTCCGCCCAGGGTCCCCCCTGGGTGGGAACAGCACAAAGAGGAGCTCAGTTTAGGAAACGTTTATGGAGTAAAAGCCTGGAGAGGAGGAGGGGGAGCCAGTGACTCTTGCAGCCCAGGAGAGGCTGGCTTTTCCAGCCCTGGCTGTCTGCCTTTGGCCCAAAGCCTCCCCAGGGGATTTACTTTAGTTTGGGTACAATCCAGAACCTTCCCCCACTGGAACGCCAGTTTACAGACTGAGAAAGAGGACCCTGCAGCCTCGTCTCTGTCCCCTCTGGGAAGTGCTGGCTGCGAGAGGGAGCTGCCCCGTCAGGGCTTGGCCTCCACAGTTGGGCAGGGCCAGAACTATCTTCCAGCTTCAGACCTGTGGTAGAGCTTGACATCTCTTCTCCAGAAGCCCCAGGGTTTGAGGCCCAAGGAGCCAGACAGGATCGAGAGACCATTCTGGGAGGGCCTCTGGGCAAGCAGGACGAAACCTGACAGAGAAACGATCTTCCAGTGTGGCCCTGCCCTGGCTACTGCGGCAGCAGGGTCTCTGGGCTGAAGTGCAGGCAGGGGAACTTGGCTTGTCTCCCTTCACCAGCAGCCTCTGTTTGTGGAGCCATTCTTCCTGGGGGAGAAGGTGAAGCTGTAAAGGGTGTGAGTGGAGCCTGCAGCCCCGTGTCGGCAGTCGAAGCCGCGGCACCAGGCAGCACGGCCCACTTGCCAGGAATTGAACCATCCTGTGGGGATAGTATTTCTGCCTCCCCTGTCCAGATGAGGAAACTGAGGCTTGAGAGAGACTGGGTAGTATCTCTAGTGATACCTGGCCAGAAAAGATGGCAAAGCATTTGCTATTTACCCCATTTCAAGTTGTTCCCCCCCCGCCACCCCCCCCCCCCACAATTATCCTGTCTCATGCCTCTCACCTTCACTAGAGCAGGGACCCTGTCTAACTCACTGCTGCACAGGGCCTGGCACATAGTAGGCCCTCAATAAATATTTGTTGAATGAATGAGATGGGATTCAAACTCAGGTCCAGCTCAGTACACTTGTGTCTCCTGTCATAGCACAAACCCTACCTGGGTCCCAACTCAAAGTGTTTGTGCACTGGGCCCACTGGGCCGACTGGCGGAACAGGCAGGGGCCCCACAGGGGTTGTGACACCTTTGAAAAGCCTAGGGAAAACCTACTGGGATCTTTGCAAGACAAAATTTATTTCATACAGTTAGTTGCTTGTCCAATCTTGGGGATCCTGAAATATTCTACTAGTCAATCACAGGTTAACAGCTGCCCTGAAAGTTCCCTCCTGAGATGGGGCTCACAACCTCAAACCAGACCCTGCTCCCTAACTGCATTCTCTGAGGGGCACCAGAACAATGCGGACGGTATGGCCACATCGGGTAGGGTCTAGCAAAGGGACCTGTTTCAGATGGCCGCCAGCCACCTTGCCCATACCACTATCTTTTTCTGTCTGGTCCCCCTGCTTCCTCCGCCCTGCCACCTCCCACCTCCTCCCCCAGTTCAATCCAGTCTTTTCTTCACTTAGGGGCAGTTAGAGTAGCCTTTTAATGAACCAGAACTTGTTGCTCCCGCCCAGGCCTGCAGCATCCGGGCCCTGCTGACCTCTTCTACTTTATCTCCCCATGCTCCTGCCTCCCCGTGGCCTTCTTTCTCCATTGGGCACCCCCTGTGCTGACACACTGTGTGCTAGGCTGTGCTTTCAGCTGTCCAGCCAACCTGAACCCTCTTCCAGGAACCCCCAACTCTTGATCTCCATTAGTTCCTTCAATCCTGTCATCCTGATTCCTTTTCTCATGTTTTCTCTAGCGAAATTACTTTTTATTTACTTGCTTAATATGTCCCCACGCCCCCAAGACCATGTCTGTCTTGTGTAGCATTGAAATGATGAGAATCTAGAAACGAATCTAACTCCTGGGCCCTAGACCTGACTCAATTATATTTGTGAAAGGGGAAAAAACCCATCTCAACCAACACCTGACATAAATAGCTCTTAGAAAATGTGTCCCCTTCCTTTATTCCCTTCTAATCAGGTAAGAATTCTTGAAAGAGGTGGCCCTTGAGGAAGGCTTTCGGACCACTGAGGGGCCAAACAGGAATTCATCTTGCTGGCCAATGTGCCATGCCGTGTGCCATGAAGCAGCTGAGGTCGGGAGAAGAGGCAGCACCCTGGTGTGCTCCGACTGCATGCCAAGTCTGATGCCCAGTCCAGGGCTCTTGCCCCACTGGACCCCTCCTCCGTCCAGTGGGCCAGGCGTGGGGAGGGAAAAGCAAGGGCCCAGGGAAAGCCACAGGATGGGGACGGGCATGTGGCTGTGTGTTGCCCTTGTCTGGGTGCAGAAGACAACTGTTAGAAGGCTGTCCATCCAGGCCAGGGGCCCAGAACCATGCCTCCCTGCAGACAGCTAAAGGAGCTGTTCAGCCTCAAGAAGAGTGTAAGGAGAGACTGTGCTCTGACATCTACACTGCTTTCCGGACCAGCCCTTTTTGCACCAGCTGCCCCTGCAAGATTGAGAAAGCCTCCAAGTGGGTCTCCCTGTTGTCAGATCTTCAAAGAGGGCCCAGTGAATCCTGCCCTCCCCTGCTGAAGCACTTGGGTGGCCTCCCATCACATTGAGAATAAAATCCAACTGTCTGCCCACAGCCCAGAAGGCCTGCTGTGGTCTGGGCCCTGCAGGCCTCGCTCCCCTTCGCTGCCTGCCTGCCATGTCCACGCCTTGGACAGCTGAGCCCAAGCCCACGGCAGGCCCTTTGTGCTGCTGTTCCCTCTCTTTGCAGACTTTCACAGGCCCAGTCCCTTCTCGCCAATCAAGTTAGTATCACCTTCTCAGAGAAGCCCTCCCTAAACACCCCATCTGAAGTAGCGTTACCCCCCATCTTTCACATCACTTTTTCATGTTTTTCTTCACAGCACTTATCACTACATGGAGTTTTTGCCTTTGTATCCTAGTCTCTCCACCCCACCCTGAGGTGAGCTTGTCTGTCTTGTGTATCACTGAATCCTTTGTACCCGGCACACAGTAGATAATCAGTAAACATTTGTTTGAATAAATGAAATATGAAGGCCCTCATGAAGTACAGAGATTTGGACTGGGCTTTTCTGCTGGAAGTATTAAACTGGGTGTCTGGAGAGCCTGGTGTGGGGACCAAGACAGCATCTTCCCCTGCCCTCCTACCTGACATTTTAGGATAGCTGGTGAGCAGGTCCCCCTAGTTGGGGAATGAGCGTTTACAAAGCTGGAGACGACTTGTGTTAGCGTCCGTCCCCATCCCCACTGTAGGCTGCCCTGCACAGGCACAGGCTCTGCGCTGGGCGCCTGCTTTCTCCCTGATGCCTGTCTGAAGGCTTGGAGGGGACGCTGGCAGAAGATGCAGGCCATGTGTGGTCTTAGGGGCAGCTTTGCATCTGGGGAGCGCGATGATTCTCGGGAAGAACAAAATCTTCATCCCTACGGTTAAACATGACCCTGAGATGCTGCATAGTTCAAGTAGATAATGACCAAGGCCAATCGTCGTGGATCTCTGTGCTACATCTGAAAGATGTTCAGTGCTGACTGCTGGGGACTCTGGAGTACGGAAAGGATTGTGCCCTCCTCTATCCTAGGGGGCAGCAGGAGGAGGTTCCCCGCCATAGCCATGTTTGGCTACCCAAGCCTCTCCTGAGCGGTGTGAACTATTCCCTCAATGGTCCTGAGTTTGCAGGGTGTGCCACGCCCCTCAGTCCGAGCTCCCACCGTAGCCAGCCCCTGCTGCTCTCTGCTTCCCTCCCCTCCAGCGCTGGCCACAGCTTTCTTTGCCCGACGTCCCACCCACTCTGCCGCCTCCTGGGCTCGGCGAGGGCCCTTGGGCGTTGGGCGCACATCCCGCCCCCGTCGTCCCGCCCCAGCGGCCTGGCCCAGCCCCTTGTCTCCATGGAGACCCGCACGCTTGCTGCGCCCGCCCCCAAGTCCACCTCCCAACCGCCGCCGTCCCCGCGCAGACCTCCCAACCGACGTCCATCTCGTTGGAGCCCAGCGCCCGGCAGCGACCTGCGGGACTCCTGGGACGCGCGCCTTCTCGGGACTCAGGGGGCCAGTGTCTCCCAGACTGACAAGATGGTACTCAGACTCCCTCCTCTAAAGAGCCCGTCAGTAGGTCCAGGGCGGGGTGTGGGAATCTATTTTAACAAGCTGATTCTTATGATCCATGATCCTGCCAGTTTGGGAAAGGAACTGACCCCAAACCTAGAGTTTGGACCCTTGGGTATCGTTACTACTAGTACAGGACCTGCATTAGGGCTTTGTGGCAGCAAGGTTCTCCTCCTGAGGCGGTGCTAATATTCCCCTGCAGTGGGGGCCAAGCCAGACCCCAGGGGTTTGTTCCCTGGGCACAGATTCCCCTGATTATGGAAAAAGATAGTCTGTTAGTACAGAGTTCAATCTCAGCCATTACTTCCTACTGTGGATAAACCAAATCTAGCTGAAAATTGCGTGTACGTATATAATTTAGGAATATAAGATGAAGTCAAGGTCACCCAGTCACTGGGCTGATGGGGTCCCAGGTTGGAGACTAAGGTTGTCATAGCAGTGTTCAATGTTAACTTCAGAGTCAGGATCATGATTAGGGTCAGGAAGGGTCATTTCAAGGAGGACCATGTTTAGGATGACTGTCAGTGACAAGAGGAGGGTGAGGGTCAGTTCAAGTCGAAAACTAGGGTGAGCTACGTGTGGGTCAGGGTCACTCACAAGGTTACGTTCAAGCTCATCTCAGGTAAGGCAGGTCCACGTCAGGATGATCATCGGTTTTAGGATGATGGTGGAACATCAGAGGTCAAGGTCCATTTCCACGTCACATTCAAGGTTAGGACCAGAGCAAGAGTAACCTGGTTTGTAGAGGTGGGCATCACACAGAGTCCACAAATCACGGCCCAGTCACTGGGCCCTAAGCCGGAGAGGACTCTGCTTCTCTAGAAGTCAAACACAAACACAACACTGATGATGATTAGGCTCAGCCCAGAGAGTGGGACCAGAGCAGATTTAAGCCATGCACCATGGCAGAGTTGCACTTGTGAGCTTCTAAGAATGCTATTTTTAAGACATTAAGTGTGAGCCAAGAGTAGGCACGAAGGAGGAAACCAACCGATGAGGCTGAGAAGTGGAAATGTAGAAGAGCAGAGCAAAGTAGAACCCAAGAGCCAAGTCAATGGGGCACTTCTGCAAAACCTGCACCGATCCACTGACGGAAATGACTATTGTCTAAAATTGCTTCTAGGTGGCATCTATTTAGTTCCAGCTGCTGGCTTCTATATGTTGAAATGCAGGGCCCCTGCTGCCCAATCGTCTTCTCCTGTGAAAAATCAGAAATTCAGAACTATCTGGTATCTTAAGTATTAGCAACTATGTCAATTAAAAAACAAAACTAAAACTAAGGCTAAGTTACACTCACACCTGAAGGCTGTGCACGGTCCAGAGGTCACCAGCAGTTTGTGGGTGCTCTTCTAAAGGGACAATGTTTTCTCCATTCAAGGTCCGCACTCCCCAATACTGTGATTAAAAAAACAAAAACCAAAAACAAACTAGGGACAGGTGGTACAGGGCTGGATATGAGAAGGCCTTTGTGCCTCAGGCACCACGTGTGCCCTGTCAGGGAGCGTACTGCTGCTTGGGAAAGTACTGGCTATGATTAGCTAACATGGTCTCTCCTGAGCCAAGGATCTGGAAGAAGGAAAAAAAAGACAGGGCAAAGGCAGATCATCTTTGTTCTTGTTACATTTTATTGGCATCACGTTCATCTCTTTACAGAAGAACTTGGCCCACACCCTAGAATGTAGACCTTTGGAAAAAGGGGAAGTGCTCCGTTAAGCAAGCTACAATGCAGGGGCAGATCCTAGGGAGGGGGCAGAACTGCCAGGGTTCCATACCAAAGAAACAGGTTAATTATGATGGGCAAGAGGGGCGTTGGTGGGGAAAAGGAGAAAAAGGTTTGCTAACCTAAGGATACCACAACCTGAAAGGAGCGCCTTCTAGAACAAAGGTAAAATCACTAGGACAGATCTGTTAGGATTTTCCTCTCCCTCTTATAAGTGGGATACTGATCTAATGGGGGAGTTTAGAAGTGTGGAGCAAAAAAAAGGAAAAGTGAGAATTTTAATTTCTGAAAGAACAGCCATTTATCCATCCAAATTCAGTTACAGAAGGGAACTAGACAGTTTTCCTCCTGGAGAGATGAAAAGCTTTTTGGCTCTTAAGTCTTTGATAAAAGGCGTATGTAATTCTTGTGTCTACTGTACAGAATACTGCCTCAAGCTGGATTTCTGAATTCTGAGTTGCTAACACTCTGCAATCCAGACAGGGTTCAACCCTCCATCTTACATGCCTGCATTACAGGACTTAAACACATAATCCAAGAATTTCTTACACTAATTTATACATTTTAATTGGTTGCATATATTAACATGTACTATAAGATTCTTTTCTAAGAAGCATTACATAATAAATGGATACTGTAAAAAGATCTGATTAGTTAAAAGTAACAAGCATTAACAGATACATACAAAACTCAGCCTGAACAGACCGGGTGTGAGCCTGTGATGAAGCATGGGGCACCAGCCTTCCCAAGTGGTAGCCTTCACAGGAGGAGGGGGAGGGGTGGAGTGGGGGTGGGGGTAAAAAGACCACAAGACCATTAAAAAAAATCAGAAAACTAATTAGACACAGATTAACTGTAAACAGTTCTCTCTCTCCAGTGGACAAAAAGAAAAAGCTTCCGATGCTGACTCCACACCAGAACGATTTCTACAGCTGGCACATCCTGCTGCCATACCAGGGCTGATGTGGTGGATGGGCAGACCCCACTGGAGCCATCACAGGCCAGGGCTGGAGTCTGTCTGCTTGTGTCAGATCTGTGTGTGTGTGTGTGTGTGTGTGTGTGTGTGTGTGTGGTGTGTGTGGAGGGGGTGAGTGTTTGGTGGGTTTTTTTGGCAGCTGGATATGAGAGATCACTTTATGTTCTGTTTGGAAGAGTAGAGGGGGCTTGTGTTGGAAGGCCTAAGTGTGTTCTTGGTTTGTGAAGGACTCTGTGCTCTGCTCTCACTGCTCCTTCAGCAGCTGCAGCCTTCTCCCGGGGCCTTGGCCCGGTCATTCTTGTCCAGTTTGATGGGTTCAGGGAATTCATTGTATAGCTCCACCTCCGTTTCCTGGGCAGGGAGGAGAGAGAGAGAGGTTTGTTACTCAGTGCACAGGGGAATTCCCGTGCTCAGCTCTGGCCCTTAGTGGGGCTGCGGAACAGCCGTGGCAGTGAAGGGAGGGCTCTGGCAGAAGGTGCTTGACCCTTAGAGGCCAAGGTAAGAGGAAGACAGGTTTTGTGGTAACTCCAGGCTAATGTGAAGAGACAAATTCAGCAGGAAGAGCAGCAATCACACTGAGCAGTCAGGACAGAAACTGACTCACGCTCTCCGTCAGATCGCAATCTGGTGGCTTGGGGACCACAGCCAGATCACATACGCTTTTTGTATGGTCCATACAGTTGCCAACACTTAAAAAGAAATCAGACTTTAACAGGCCTGGATTTTGAGCAACTCTTAGCATTTCCACAAGGCAACAGTGGGCTGGAGCTGAATGCTAGCTGCCCTCTCAGTCCCAAACATTCCTCCACTTCCCTTTTTGCCACTCATTTTTCTGGACCTAAGGCCTATTTTCTTTTTCTTCCAAAAGTTTAGGCGAGTTTGGTCTCCAAATGCCACATGCTTAAAAACCAGTTGTGAATGAATGTTATCACCACCTGTGGGCAGAGATCACAGGAGATGGACAGTGGTTGGTTCAGTGGGACTTACTGCTGAATTAACGTGTTGCTAGGGAGGAGCAGCTTTCTACTTCCTGGCAGAGAAAAATAATTTGTCTCTGAAACAGTGGGCACCTATGTGCCAGGAACTGTTCTAGGATTTGGAGATAAAGCAGGGAATGTTTCTTTTCGTTTTTTTTGAGGAAGATTAGCCTTGAGCTAACTATTGCCAATCCTCCTCTTTTTGCTGAGGAAGACTGGCCCTGAGCTCACATCTGTGCCCATCTTCCTCTACTTTATATGTGGGACACCTACCACAGCATGGCTTTGCCAAGTGGTGCCATGTCTGCACCCAGGAACCAAACCGGCGAACCCCGGGCCGCTGAAGCGGAACGCGTGAACTTAACTGCTTTGCCACCGGGCCGGCCCCAAGCAGGGAATGTTTCTATTCATTAAAAGTTCTCTAGGAAAAACTGTTCCATTCACAATAGCTATAAAAGTAAAAACCTCTAGTAATACATATTTTAAAAAATAAAAGCTTCATTGAGGTATACCATAGAGTGTACAATTCTAGTTTTTTTTTAAATATATTCACCAAAATGGGCAACCATCACCACTATCTAATTCCAGAACACAATCATCATCCCAAAAAGAAACCCTGCACCCCCAGTGGCAGTCACTCCCCATCCCCATCTGACACCCTGAGCCCTTGGCAACCCACTTACCTACTTTCTGTCTTAATAGATTGGTCTATTTTGGACATTTCATTTGATGTACATTTTGGTTGTTTCCACTTTTTGGCTATTACGAATAACGATGTTATGAACATTTGTGTACAAGTTTCTGTGTAAACCTGTTTTCATTTCTCTTGGGTATATACCTTAGAGTGGTATTGTTGGGTCATATGATAACTCTATGTTTAAGTTTTTGAGGAACTGCCTGTTTTCCAACGTGGCTGTACCATTTTACACTCTCGCCAGCATCTAGGAATACATTTAATATGAAAGGCAAAGGATGTGAAAAATTCTAAAATATTACTGAAGGATATAACACAAGGCCTAAAATAGCAGCTGTTATGGACTGAATGTTTGTGTTCCTCCAAAATTCGTCTGTTGAAGTCCCAAGCCCCAGTGTGGTGGTATTCGGATTAAGAAAGTAATTAAGCTTAAATGAATTCATAAGGGTGGGCCCCAGATCTGACAGGATTAGTGTGTCCTTGTAAGATGAGACATCAGAGCGATCTGGCTCTCTCCTTCTCTCCCCACCCCCAATCCACCTGTGTGTGTGCACAGAGAGGAGAGGCCACGGAGGTCGCACGGAAAAGGCAGCAGTCTGTAAGGCAGACGAGTCCTCACCAGAAACGGAATTTGCTGGCACCTTCATTATGGACTTCTGGCCTCCAGAACTGAGAGAAAATACAAGTCTGTTGTTTAAGCCGCCCAGTCTGTGGCCTTTTGTTAGGGTACCCAGAGCACACAGTAAAACAGCTATAATGTAATTCCAATCAGAATCTCAATGAGGTTTATTTTGGGGGAGGGTGAGCAAAGAAAAAGGTGGAAGTGGAACAAAATTCTTAGTGTAAATGGAAAAAGCACCAAAATAGCCAAGAAAAAAATACCAACAGGACTAATGAGGGGAGACTTGCCTTATTAGAGGTCAGATCATATTATAAAGGCAGTCTCAAATCAAGATGGTCCAGGCAAGAAACACCCAGATGCCAGAACAGACTGGGGAGACCAGAAATAGATTCCAATTAAGTGAACATTTAATACAACAAAGGTCATGTTTCAATCCAGTGGGAAAACGCTATTTAACAGCTAGCTACTAACATTTGAAACAAGTGGCTATCCCTCTGAAAGAATTAGGTGAGTCCCTATTTCCTGCCATAAGCCGAAATACATTCCATCTGAATGAGACAACACCCACTTTAGACACAGGAAAGCTGGAAATTTAAAATGACATACCCGACTAAAAAACTATTCTTTTTCTATGGCCAAAGGATATATATAAAAACACAGCAGAGTTGGAAAAATCACTTGCAATACAGGTGAAGTTAATTTCAACTCACAAAGAGCTCATGAGAACTGACAGGTGCCCAGGCAAGTGCTATGTCCCGGCTGTCTGCAACAGAGAAAAACCAAGGACTGGCAAGAGCGTGAGTGGAGTTACAGATGATGCCTGCTGCTTGCTGGTAGGGAGGTAAGAGAAAGAAAACTCACATTGCTGGAAGGAACTAAGTAGCGCTGCCCTTGGGGAGAGTGACCTGGCACCATCTCTTAAAAATACACAAATGTTCCAATCTAACAATCTTACTCCTAAGAGGCTAGCTCGCAGAAATAAAAGCATTATAATAAGGCTGCAGGCACAGCAATGTTCAGAGAGAAAAACTCCAACAGTGATGTCAGTCAACGGGGAACTGGTGGAAAACAACTCCCTGTACATATTTAGATTCACATGCAATTACACGAACATCAGGAAAAACGCACTACATTATTAATCTAGGTATGCGGGTAGGCTAAAGGAAGAGGGGAAGGGGAGCCAAAAGGGCCTTAAGTCTGCATCCTGGTCAGTTCCTTCCCACTGTGTCAACGTTTCTCAGCAGGGACTCTCCTGGCATTTGGGGTGGACCAATTCCTCACTGATTAGGACTTACCGTTTTGTTATGGAACACTCAGTGCAGCCTCCAGTCCTTGAAACAAATTATCTCCCTGCCCACAAGTCCAGACGCCCAGTCCTGCTAAGAACTGCCGCCTTTTATAAACCCAGCTTCCTGGACTTAGGAGAGCCTGCCTTGCCCTTTACAGCCACCATGTACTCCCTCAAATGTTCTCTGCATCCTCTGACGTGCACCTACCTCTGACCTCCTCTGCCCCACTGTGTCTGACTACCACAGACATCTGACGATGCCTCATCACCTGCCTTAACTCCACCAAACCTAACACAGCTGAGAAATCAAAAGCACCTTCAACTTGCACATGCCAACAAGAAGTAATGGTTTTTTTCTGGGAATAGTTGAGTAAACAACACAAACAAGAAAGAAAATGTAGGAAAACTTTATTCAAGGAATACGATTCCCAGAGCTTCTGGTTCACCTTTCTAGCGATGAAATATAACCATTTATGAGAACAACAAAAGTAAGCCCATCCCATGCAATCTTCACAACCACCCTGCAAAGCAGGTATTCACATTTTACAGATGAAGAGACGAAGCTCAGATATGATAAAAAACTAGATCTAATGATGGGTAGCAGAGCTGACATTCGAATTCCCCT